AAAATTTAACAATATTGTTTTAAATAATTAATTTTTTTCTCAGCCAGATAATTTCAGTAACCCCAGAAAACTTCCGAACATACACTTCGAAGTGTCCTCTACAAATCGGGAAGGCTTGAAGAAAAAATTCAAAACTTGAAAATATCGGTGGTTTTTGGCTCACCGAAGATTTTTTCACCTCACCTTACGGCTAGTTTCGTCCGAACCAAGCATTTTGAAACAAAACTCTGAGTACAAAAGTTGTTCAGAATCGAATTCTGCAGTCCCTCACAAGAGCCTTTTTTAAAATTTTCTGGTTTTGGTATTTAAATTAAATTTTACGGTTTTTAAAATTTTAAAATTTCATATTTTTCAATTTAAAAACCAAAAAAAGAAAATTTTAAAAAAGGCTCTTGTGAGGGACTGCAGAATTCGATTCTGAACAACTTTTGTACTCAGAGTTTTGTTTCAAAATGTTTTCTTCGAGCGAAACTAGCCGTAAGGCTTTTTTCAAAATACTTTTAGCTCTAAAATTTCCTCGGGAAGGTGAAAGTTAAATTTCTCCGTCAAACTTCATGTGGGAACGACGTAAAGTTTTTCTCTTATACAAGATAATGTTCTCTACCGATCTACGCCAGAATCAACCCTTCATATAAAAAGCTGAAGTTTTTATTGAAATTCTAAAAATAGGGCAGAAAACCCGAAAAAAACTTCAAAATTTTTTTTTTATCAAAAACTACAAATTCGGGAACTGAAAGCTTTGTTGAGACGTATACTTCGAATTGTCCTCTACAAACTGGTGAAAAAAACAGGTGGGGGATCTCCCCCTTAATCTGATTAAATCCATTAGTATGATTGTCAGGCAAATAAGAAGTTATTATTGTGTATTAAGATCCGTCATTAAGGTCAAAGTAGTTCATCAGATCAGAAAAACACAAAGTGATGTAAATTTCAAAGAGTAAAGTAATTTTTTTCATTTGTCATCGATGAACGGATATTACTTTAAACGGGAAGTTGAAGAAGAAAGCCAAAAAGCAAAACAGTATTGCTTATTTACTTTTGCGGATGACCGTTTGTTTTCAGATATCGCTAATCGGATGACTGATGGACTAAAAAGAAGATTAGGGCTTACGAGAGAATCACCCGAGGTGGTAAATCGTTTTTTGATCGAAATCTAGTGAATTATAGGTTATCGACCATGCTGATTCCGAATATGACCATGTGGGCTCCTTGTAGTCCTTCAGCGATCCGGTTTTCTGGAAAACCAGTTTTTCAGAAACTCTAAAAGATAACCGAAACCTTTCTCAACGATGTATGGTTGATTGTAGAGCGTAAATTTCTGACTAAAATGAGACATCGCCCAGCTCTACATGACCTTTCTTTGCAAAGTTATCCGGTTTACAAGAAAAGCTCTAAGTTAATTTTTTTGCTTCTGTAGGTTTGAGCGGACAATAACCAGTCAGGGCTTTTCTTCTAAATTTCATATCTTTGCAAAGAAAAGTTGTGTTGAGCTGGGAGATGTGTCATTTTAATCAGAAATTTGCGCGCTACAATCAGTCATACATCGTTGAGAAAGGTTTCGGTTATCTTTTAGAGTTTCTGAAAAACTAGTTTTCCAGAAAACTGGATCGTCGAAGGACTGCAAGGAATCCCCATGGTCATATTCGGAATCAGCATGATCGATAAACTATAATTCACCAGATTTCGATCAAAAAGCGATTTACACCTAGGGTTGTTCCCTCGTTAGAGCTAGGTGAGCGGAAAGACACATAGAAGAAGATAGCTTTTATTTGTTTTGAACCACTTGACTCTTCTAAAGCTCACTGTCATCTGACTGTACGCTTTTAGTCAGTGATCATTTGGTTATCCGATTGTCGATATCCTTTGTTTTTTCTATCTGTATGACTACAGTAAAATGATATTGAAATGATGTTGTCGGTTTAGATTTTGTTCAGGATTGTTTTTAACTTCTGCTCAATTCCCATTTTCTGCCGTATGACTTTATGTTCTTATTATTTAGAGCTATGAGAAATAGTAACAGAACAGACGATATTGAAGAATATGGCTCGACTCGTATAATTCCAGATTCTATTATTATTGATGAATGTGAGTTATTTTTATGTTTTTTCTTCTATTAACAACTGTCCAGTTGCTTCACTATGTAAGAACTACAAAAGTTTGTTGGTATTATTTATCTCAGAATTCATGGTACGCAGTTGTTGTTATCGTTCGTTGTATCATTTTTATATCATTTACCTTACTTTTTCATGCCACCATTATCATCAACATCAGGGTTATTATTATTCTGAAAATAATTTAGTTCTAATTGATCGTTCGTTTCTCATAGAAAAAATTGTCATATTATACAAAAACAAAACGAGCGAAAAAGCAAAATTCAATTGTTTAATACAAAAATTTCACACATTTGATTGTCCAATTGAATATTTCATGAATACCAACAAACATATGTAACAATGACACAACCAACAAACCAAATGCTGTATTTTTCGATAAAAATATGGTTAATAAAATTACGCATGAACAAACAACGATGGTATCTTGATGATTTTTTATCAATATAAACGATCTGCTCTATCAAAGTTTGGGAAATTGATATTCGTGTACAAAGAAGTATCATAGTCGGATTACGAAGTAACATTGAATTATAGAAGAAATGGTTATGATATTACTGTTACACCAAAAATTTGGCATGCAAAACGTAGTTTATGTTATGCTTTCTACCACATTAAGTTCAATCGAAAGTATTAAGAACACACACACACACATAAATATTTTCGGTTGGCGCATTTTTATTTAATTTTATCAAATGTGCCTACTCGTATGGGTTCTCATAATGTAAACAAATTACGGTAATCGAGTGTAATGCTAAACGTAATCAAGGATGTCAAAACGATCATGTTTTCAATTATGTTCAACATTTCAACTGGAGTCTTTTCAGGAAACCTAGAACTACACAGACTACAAGTATGGAGTGTTTTGAACAACGTTTAGTGCCTGAAAATGGTGTAGTCCAAAATACAGAAAGAATTCATGTATGAAGAATTTATTATTCTCGCTATTTCTCTTTTTTGAAAATATTTTTGATTTTGAGCTGAATATATCCTAAGGTACAGGACAGTCTGGGCTACAAAATGAGACCACTTCCAGCGTTCTATGCTCTTCCCTCTGAAAATTTTCCTTCACAGCCCAAAAAAATTTTGTTAGTTTCATAAATTTTTCTTTCCTTTTCTGCACATTCAAAATTTTATCTTACACTTAGTCTAATAGAACAAAGTGTTCTCTTCGCAATGAGACGCCTGTCTAGAATTTTCTGATAAGAAAGAAAATACCTCGACCTTCATTCGTCGTACTTGGAAATCCATGTACTCACCGCTCTCTGGTCTACTATGTTTTTGTTGCGACCCCCTAAAATTTTTTCATTCGATTGAGCTGAAAATTTTACGTAAGGTGCCCGTAATTCGAAGTTTCCATGACTTCTTCTTTTTGATATATTAATTCATGGTTGGCTAGAGCACATCGAGCTTAGTAAGAAAAAGTTAGTTTTAAGTAACTTTAAAGGACCGATTTCGCTCAAAATCGCTACAGTTTAAAAAAACTCAAATTTTGCATTTTCTCTTTACTTTCTAGTTTTGAAACTAATTTTTTTGAATTCAGCATTGAAAACTGGGTATAGAGAAGATGTTTGATTGATCAAACCTAAAAGCTGATCTAGCTTGTTTCACTTGAACTGACCCTCTCAAACGACAGCCAGCTATTTTGCAAACCTATTCTGCCCATAACTGTCATTTTTCTCCAGGAGAACTCATTTTTTATGCAATAAAAATACCATATTCAGAATCGCCATCAAAAACCGAGCCGAATGATATATAAAAGTCTAAAACCTTGGTTTTTCAGGGGTTCTTCAGTATTTTGCTATAACTTTGGAAGGAATCAAAAATTTACATTCTGCGATATGATCTCAAGTATCCTCTGTAAAATTTTCAGCTTAACCCTATGAAATTTTAGGAGCGTAATGTACACAAGTTAAAAACCTGGTTTCCCGTAAAACCTCAAGGTTTTTTATGTCAAAAACATATGAGCAAAAATACATCGATTTTCGTTTTCGACGTTCTAGCTGTGGTTAAAATTTAAGTCAGTTTCACGTCTATTCTCGATTCTGTAATAAAGTGAAAAAAGAACCCAAGCGTAAAAAAGAGATCTATTAACGTCCGATTCATCTAGATTACTAGATTTTTACTCGATTGCAATTATTATTATCGGAAAAAAAATAACGTGAGAGCGAGTTCAAGCACTTATAACTTTTTAGCTAAAAGAGCTGGAGACCTGTGGTTTTCACCATTAGAAAGAGCAACTCAGGGGACACAAACTCATCGAAAAAGAAGAATTTTCTGAAAGTTTTCACAGGCTAAATTTAGATAGATAGATAGACCCATTACCTTGCGGTGTGGGGTAAAACACAGAAAAAGAAAACAGGATCGAACATTCCAGGAACCGAAGTTCACCGGTTTTTGTGCATTCGCGCACTTGGTCTGTGTTTGTTTGGTAGCAAGATGGGTTTAAAGTCCAGAAACGGGGGTTGCTAGCCCGAGGTCTAGACGAGTAGCTGCGGCAGCCCAGGGTCCTAACTCCTGTAGAAGTTCGAGAACTTCCCCGCTAGGCACGGCTAAATTTAGCGGACGAAAGTTGGGAAAATTAGCGTGTTTTTCAAAAACAACATTTGGTTTTATTTTTTTCGCTAGTCTTGTAGAGCGAGAGTTTCTCTTTCGAATGTTATCTAAGCAATTCCAAAAGTTTTGCTTCCTCGCGGAGCTACAGACGTTTTAATCGGCTGAGCACTCGTAAGGGACTTTTGTCTGTTTATTTAGATAGGTTTTTATTGCTGTTAAAAAAAACAGAAAAAATTATTATACTAAATTTACATGTGTTTTCTTGAAAATAATAGAAAAATATAAAAAACATTCTATGAATATGTATTACGTTTAATTGTTTTTGACTCACTTCTAGTCTAATAAACCATCAGCTTTCATTTTTTCCAACAATAGATCTAACTCTCTGTAATTATAGACATTAATTAAAGAAGCTACTCCAGTGATTCCTGATGCAGCAAACATTGCACACCTTGCTCCCCCACTTACACTACCAAAACCCAAGCCTAAAAAGGCAAGAGCAACTATTCCTTTTACACTTGCTGCAATCATTTGCCGATCTCTCAATGATATTATCTCCTCTTTAATTTCCCTTAATCTTGTTGTTCGAAATTGTTCTGGTAATGCTGGATCTAATGCAGTCAGCAATTGTTTGCAGTATTTATCTTTTAATTTCATATCATTTAAGGAATCAAGTAATGCTAATATGGAAATTGCTACTGCTGCGCCTGATATTATTGTTGAATTTTTATTGTAACATTTTAATAAAGTATTCACTGCCTTAATTAATTGTTCTCTATCGATTTGTTGTATCAATGCTTTGACAAGTGTGATAGCTGATTCTGTATCTACCGACATTATTAAGAGTAGTGCGTTATTCTAAAATGAAAGAAAAAATTTTGTTCAGTATTTAGCAAACTATGACGAAATGACCAAGAAAGAGAGAAAATAGATGATCAAATTTCATGTAATTCATTTTTTGCTTATAATAATATTGTGTAAGATGCACAGAATTCAAACTTCTTTTCAAGTTCTTTTCGTTTCTGTTTTTATTTATCATATCGTCATGCTCCTTACATACTTAAGCTGTATTACTATTACACATATTTTACCGTTCTACACAATACTGGGAGAGAGAGAGAGAGACAGAGAGAGAGATGCTTATAATAATATTGTGTAAGATGCACAGAATTCAAACTTCGAATGAAATTTATTTTTGACGTTTGCACGCACCATTCGATATAGAATTTGATGCTAATCACGAATATAAGTGACCCGATTTTTTGAAAAAGGTTTTATCGGTCGAAAAATCGGACAAACCCCAAAGATATCCGGAGCTTCAAAAAGTAAGATTTCAGAAAAATGGCTATAACTTTATCGCGTTTTGCTTTCAACGCTCGCGCGCTAAAGCTTTTTGGATTCAGCGTCAATAACTGAATCTAGAAAAGTAAGTTTCAAGGTTTCAGAGCGAAAAATGTTTTTTTCACAGCGTCCGAAACAGATAGGGCTTTAAATCCGAACCGGTTTTTTGCAAACCTTATTTCATTTTTTGTAGAGATCCCAGAGCCAATATTTTTATATGGCTCGATCTGCTGTCTGCGCCTCTTCAAAAGTATAAGCGTAGATTTTTGAAATATGTTTTCTTTGCTGAGAAAAGTCGTTTTTTCTAAATCTGAGGCAAAAAAGTCGTAATTCTATCAGTAATTCCCAATTTTCACAAGCAGAACTCAACTTTTATGCAATAAAAATATCATATTCTGAATCAGGATCGAAAACTGAGTATACTGATGTGTACTTCGAAATTTTTCGTTCAACTTTATTTTTTGGCGAAATCTCGATGGTTTTTCAACATGAAAATTCAGAAAAAATTAACT